AGGTGGGTATTGTACCACATGGTACCCGCATGGCCCCTACTTACCTACACACCACACAATCCATTGTCTACAGCCAAGCTCTTAGATACAACCGCATTTGCTCCAATCCCTCAGATAGAGACAAGCACCTACAAGATCTCTATCAAGCATTCTTAAAACTACAATACCCACCTGCTGAAGTGAAAAAACAGATTGACAGAGCCAGATGAGTACCCAGAAGTCACCTCCTACAAGACAGGCCCAACAAAGAAAATAACAGAACACCACTAGCTGTCACCTTCAGCCCCCAACTAAAACCTCTCCGGCGCATCATCAAAGATCTACAGCCTATCCTGAAAGATGATCCCTCACTCTCACAGATCTTGGGAGACAGACCTGTCCTTGCTTACAGACAACCCCCAACCTGAAGCAAATACTCACCAGCAACCACACATCACTGAACAAAAACACTGACCCAGGAACCTATCCTTGCAACAAAGCCCGATGCCAACTCTGCCCACATATCTATTCAAGTGACATCATCATAGGACCTAATCACATCAGCCATGCCATCAGGGGCTCGTTCACCTGCACATCTACCAATGTGATATATGCCATCATGTGCCAGGTGCCATGTGCCTGTGCCAGGTGTCCCAGAGGGAATGAACAGAACAGGTAATCATCAAGTGATCCATCCCCTGTCGCTCATTCCCAGCTTCTGGCAAACAGACTAGGGACACCATTCCTGCCCATCCTGGCTAATAGCCATTGATGGACCTATCCTCCATGAATTTATCTAGTTCTTTTTTGAACCCTGTTGTGGTTTTGGCCTTCACAACATCCTCTGGCAAGGAGTTCCACAAGTTGATTGTGCATTGTGTGAAGAAATACTTCCTTTTAATTGTTTCAAACCTGCTGCCTATTAATTTCATTTGGTGACCCCTAGTTCTTGTGTTATGAGAAGGAGTAAAGAACACTTCCTTATCTACTTTCTCTATACCAGTCATGATTTTATAGACCTCAATCATATCCCCCCTTAGCTGTCCCTTTTCCAAGCTGAAAAGTCCCAGTCTTATTAATCTCTCCTCGTATGGCAGCCATTCCATACCCCTAATCATTTTTGTTGCCCTTTTCTGAACCTTTTCCAATTCCAATATATCTTTTTTGAGATGGGGCGACCACATCTGCACACAGTATTCAAGATGTGGGCATTCCATGGATTTATATAGAGACAATATGATATTTTCTGTCCTATTATCTATCCCTTTCTTAATTATTCCCAGCATTCTGTTTGCTTTTTTGACTGCCGCTGCACATTGAGTGGATGTTTTCAGAGAACTCGCCACAATGAATCTAAGATCTCCATGCACTGTTCCTGTCTCCCTGCCTCAGCTGGAAGGTGACCAGGGTTCTTTGTGCGTAACTGAACCTTTTGGAATTTCTCATCTGAATTTTAGTCTCTCCTCTGTGGCAGTTGCAGTGGAGGATTGGCACAGCTTCTTTTTAAAGCACAAACCTTGCTGCTGATCACTCGCTTGCCAATCTGTAGAGTGACACCAAAGGTTTGTGTCACCTCGTCTCTCTGTCCCCAAGACATGTACAATTTCTTTAACCCTGTCCACATCATACACAAATCAGGGCAGCATCAAGAGCGTCTTAACACTTTTTTAAGCACTGTTCCCTCTGCATGGTTCAAACACCGTTTTTAAAATAGGGCCAGATCACGTAGCTAGAGTAGTGTAACTTAGGTTGACTTAGCCTGGTAGTGAAGACAAGCCCTCTGATGATAACTGAGGAGTGTCCAGAACTTGAACTGAGCCTTTCCCTCCTAAAGGATGACTAAGGAATATGAACCCAAGTCTCTTGTCATGACCTTGGTCAAAATGCTTAATTTCTGTCCAAGTTTCCCATTTGTAAAATGGGGATACTTCCTTTCTCCGACCCTTTGTATGTTTAGAGTGTAGTTCTTGGGCATGTCTCTTAACAAATACATGTACAGCACCTAGAACAGTAGATCCCTGATTTTGGTTGGGCCCTCTAGGTTGGGGCAGGCAAACTTTTTTGGCCCTAGGGCCACATCAGATTTCTGAAATTGTATGGAGGGCCACTTAGGGGAGGCTGTCTCTCCCCAAACAGCCAGGCGTGGCCCGGACCCTGCCCCCTATCTCATAGACTCATAGACTTTAAGGTCAGAAGGGACCATTATGATCATCTGGTCTGACCCCCTGCATGCTGCAGGCCATAAAACCGTCCCTACCCCTTCCCTGGACTCTGCTGCTGAAGTCCCCAATCCTGTTATTAGTGACTTCAATCGGCAGAGACCCCTATCTGACCCCCTCCCCCTGCTTCTCATCTCCTGACAGCCCCCCCAGGACCCAAGAGCTGCCCCAAGAGCTTGCTGCCCCAGGAGCTCACAGCCCCGCTGCCCAGAGCATTGCGCCGGCAGTGCAGTGAGCTGAGGCTGTGAGGGAGGCAGTACAGCGGGGGAGGGGCCGGGCAGGAGGGTCCCGCGGACTGTAGTTTGCCCACCTCTGCTCTAGATACTACCATAATATAAATCAGTAATAAACACTACTTTATCATCATTATTATTATTAGACTTCAGATTCACGCCTTTTAATGATTATAATTGTAAATCAAATGCACAGCTTCAAAATGGGGAATAACTGACTAGGTGGTAGTAGTGCTGAAAAGGATCTGGGGCTTACAGTGGATCACACATTGAATATGAGTCAACAATGTGATGCAGTTGCGAAAAAGGCTAATATAATTCTGGGGTATATCAAGAGCAACGTTGTATGTAAGACATGGGAGGTAATTGTCCTCTGCACTGGTGAGGCCTCAGCTGGAGCACTGTGTCCAGTTTTGGGCACCACACTTTAAGATTGGAACAAATTGGAGAGAATTCAAAGGAGAGCAACAAAAGCGATAAAAGGTTTAGAAAACCTGACCTATGAGGAAAGGTTAAAACAAAACTAGCCATGTTTAGTCTTGAGAAAAGAAGACTGGGGAGACCTGATCGTTTTCACATCTGTTAAGGGGTTGCTACAAAGAGGTTGGCGATCAACTGTCCTCTATGTCCACTGAGGACAGTACAAGAAGTAATGGGCTTAATCTGCAGCAAGGGAGATTTAGGTTAGATATTAGGAAATCCTTTCTAATTATAAGGATTGTTAAGCACTGGAATAGGCTTCCAAGGGAGGTTGTGGAATCCCTATCTTTAGAGGTTAAGAACAGGTTAGACAAACACCTGTCAGGGACAGTCTAGGTATATTTTGTCCTGCCTAGGTGCAGTGGGCTGGACTAAATGATCTCTTGAGGTCCCTTCCAGCCCTACATTTCAATGATACTAATCTTTCTGTTTGGTGGAAGGGAGCTGGTATAGTAGAACCTCAGAGTTACGAACTGACCAGTCAACCACAGACCTCATTTGAAAGTAGAAGTACACAATCAGGCAGCAGCAGAGACAGGGACGGGGGGTGGGGGGAAGCAAATACAGTACAGTACTGTGTTAAACTACTAAAAAATGAAGGGAAAGCAGCATTTTTCTTCTGCATAGTGAAGTTTCAAAGCTGTATTACGTCAATGTTCAGTTATAAACTTTTGAAAGAACCACCATAATATTTTGTTCAGAGTTGTGAACATTTCAGAGTTATGAATAACCTCCAGTCCCAAGGTGTTTGTAAATCTGAGGTTCTACTGTATCTGGGTTCTTTATTAAAATTTCCTGTTGTATTAATAATGGATTTATTTGAAGGCTGCTGCTAATTGATGTGATTAGGGGCCAGTGAACATTAATTAATTATACTTGCTTATGAAGAACTTGTTACCTTTTCTTGGAAACAGTTTGCATGTCCCATGCCTTTGAAACAGAGATCATTCATGTGTTCCGTAGTGCTGGGGGAGAGATGGTAGAGTTCATAGTGAGCAGAGAATGTAAATACAGACATGGGGTTAGATGAAGGGGGATGCAGAAGGGATTCTAACATTTGCCCAAAAATTAGATTGAAGATGGACTAAGCTGTTATGCTAGTTAATAAAGAAATGCAGCAGGTACCTGAGGGAGACCAAAACTGGGTACCTAGCATTATGGTGCCATCTCCTGACAGCAAATGTTATTACACTAAATTAACATTGTGTTCGCCTAGAGGCCCCCCTTCTCACTTCTGTTAATTTTGTTTAAAGCATTGGGAGGGTCACAGAGTATAATTGACCAAGTACTTTATTTAATAATGTGGCTGTGCTTTACCAAGCACTTTGCACTTATAGTGCCTTCCATCAGAGGCTTTCTAAAGCACTTCACAAACGACTAAGCCGTACAGTGTGGTGGGTTTCATTAGCCCTCAAAATGTTTTGGAAAATAGGCACGTGGAGGGTAAGTGACTTACCCAAACCTCACAATATGTCACCGTCAAAGCTGGGAACAGAACTGTGAGAGCCTGCTTTAACAAAGCTGCCTCCTGGCATCATCTTTAGCCCTTTTCTGTGGATTTGTCCTGTTTGGGGAAAGTAACACTGGAGTGAGACAGACCTCCCTTTTGGGCTTGACTTATGGAAGACTTTCCTTTGCAAGTTGTCAGTGTTGCTAGTACTGCTGACAGCATTGAGTGAGCTCACTGGCAGAAGCAGAATGATAAATGGCAAGTGCTGTGCTGTTTTTATAAAGGAGATAGTGTCAGGACTTCCTATCTAGGAAAACATTCTGAAGTGAGTCGCTATAGGAATCCACGGCCTGTACTTCAGTAATGTTATTGGCTTGCTTAAAAGCCCAAACAGCTTGAAAAACTACATTTTGTCTCTTGCCAGGCACTGGGTTTTGGAGTAAGTTTGATATCAACATATATCTGATAAGTGTCCTTTAAAAAAAAAAAATCTATCTGCTGCTGCTGAAGTTCTTATAGTTTAGTTAGAATGTCAAGCTACTTGGCCAAAAGCATGTACCTGTGTACTTTTATACGTGTGCTGTAAATCAAACTGAGTGTCCTAAGTGTAACACACAACACTGGCAATTCTCTCCACAGACAGTACTACTGGTATGATGAGCGGGGAAAGAAGATAAAGTGCACGGCCCCTCAGTACGTTGATTTTGTCATGAGTTCAGTGCAGAAGCTTGTGACGGACGAGGATGTCTTTCCTACAAAATATGGTATGTTTACTCTTGGGGGAAATGTCCTCTGGTCTATCTCTTGTAAACTTTCTACTCACGGTGGTGGGGAGAGTTTTTGGGTTGCTCTTGCCTCTTCTGTCTGAACTCCCCCCACCTCTCCCATAGAAAGTGATGTACCTGCCACCTTATTCCATATCTGTATCTTACTGAGTGGTGAATCAAGAAGCCCATCTGGGACTTGAAATGCAAGGAAAAATGCAATCTTAGCAATATAGCCAGGACTCAGCAATGAACAGAATTATTGTACCTTCCAGATGTGATTAACTAGATTATTGTAGGGGAGAGAACAGTCCCCTTGTATTCATCAAGTAAAACGTGGTACCTGCACACTAGAATGGCCAACACACTGGTGGATGGAGGTAATGAAGAGCTAAACAGCTGCCCAGAGTGAGACTTCACTGTTACAGAGATATGTGGTGTGGAGCTACTAGCTGAGTAATAACAAGCATCTGAATGTGGACCAGAGGCATGCCGGGGTGAGACTATCATTCTGGCAATTGAAGCAACTAGCTCCTAGCTAAGCCAGTTGCTTAACCCCGTTTTGCTTATGAACATTTTTAATGTAGTTATTCAAGAGTAATCAGGATCTCGTATTTGCCTACTTCAAGCAAATGTAGCTGTCACAAAGGAGCCAAATGAGAAGTTGCATGTATGACTGTCCTAAATCCTCCCCTACATGTATGTTTGCTGTCCCTGGGTGTTTGAACAGCACCGAATATAATCTGACTACTCTCATAATGATAATGAAGGCCAGACTGCTGGTCTGGTCTGCACCTAAATCCTGGGTGCATGCTAGGACTTGGGTTGAAAATGAAAACTGACCTCCTCATGAGTGCCATCAAACAGCAGTTGTGTCCTGCACTCTAATTGGAGTGTGCGTATGTTGCCAATTCCGCATGTGCACTCCCCAAAGTGCATTAGGGAGTACAACTGGCTGAGCCTAGCTAGCAGAGGAATATAGCCGTATAGCAACTTGGGCAGGCAAATCTGTTTCTCCTGTTGGTTGGTGCTATTAACAAGGAAACTGAGGAGTCTGTTAAAAGGAAAATAATTTTTCCATCTTGGGTTAGGTGCACGACTCTGGACATGGCACTCAGGTGCCTGTCCACGGGGCAGTATGCAATCTAAATTGAGTTTGTCCAGACTTGTTTTGTAGCACTGCAGCTCCTACTGCAGCATGCCATCGGGCTATAAAAAGTCCTATTGTCTAGGACTAAGTAATCCTAATATCACAAGTCTAAATTAGTGCCTCTAGGTTATGCAGTACATGGTAAATCTTGCAATGGACAACTTTGTAGAGGACTTCATACCTGTACTGTGCACACACCAGGGCCTAGATTTGTGAAATATGGTGACAGATATGGAACTTACTTCAGTTCCCACTCCACCTATGAATGGATCCCCCCAGCTTGCAGGTACTTGCAGCAGCATCTAGACCCAGGCCCAGACATGTGGACTGAAAAATTGGGAGGTGGAGCGGAAGTGCAGTTACAACTGAGGAGGGTGGGCAGGCAGATAAGGAGATGTCTGCTAGGTTTCACTGGAGTTGTGGCCCCCAAAATTGAGATATTAAAAATAATAAATTTTGGGGTTTATTTGCTTCCTAATAAACTTGCAAGAGTTGGCAGCCCTGGAAGGGGAATCAGGAACGGCACTTTTGACTGATGGGCTCCATCCACTTAAATCCTGCTTCTCCATTACTGCTTTAAAGACCATAGCCTGCCTTTTAAAAAGAAATAAGTTGCACCAGTCTGCACGTTGGCAGGGACAGATGCTTCCCCTAGGCTGAAATGATGGATTTGATCACCTAGCACTATCTGTGTGTCTCAGGTTTTCTTTCTCTCCTCTTCACAGGCAAAGAATTCCCCAACTCCTTTGAGTCCTTAGTGAAGAAGATTTGCAAATATCTGTTCCATGTGCTGGCCCACATCTACTCCTCCCACTTTAAGGAGACTTTGGCACTGGAGCTGCATGGACACTTAAATACACTCTACACACACTTCATCCTATTCATCAGGGAGTTCAACCTGGTGGACCCTAAAGAAACCACCATCATGGATGACCTCACGGAGATCCTCTGCAGCAGCGGCAGCGGGAGCAGTAGTAATGGGAGCGGCAACAGCAGCGCAGGAGCACAGAACCACGTGAAGGAGAGATGAGCCTTCCTATGGCGCGAAACTAACATTAACATAAAAACAATATTATATATTCTATATATGTGTGTGTATGTATATGTGCATATATATATATACAGACATACACAGCGATGAAAGTTTAAGCAATTATGCTGCCACCACAGGACGTGTAGTCGTATGGGACTGTACGGAGCTTTTGTTAATGCACCATCTGGTGAGAAGTTGCACCAATCTTCTTTTATTGTTTTCCTCCTGTTCCTTCTTTCTTTTCCCCCTGTCAGATGGCTGACGAATGCTGTTTTTAGAGAAGAACCAGGTTTTTGAGTTGGGCTGCTGTTTCTCTTTTTTTGGTCCTTTTTCTTCAGTCTTGAGTGCAAGCCCTTCTGTCTTTCTAGGATGGTGGTACTGCCATTTTAAAAATATATATTATGTTATAAGAAGTGACTTTTACTTTGAAGTGGCTTAAATGCAGATTTTGTTTTGGGGTTTGGTTTTTACATAGACTCCCCCTCCCAATTTTACATAGAGTCCCCAGTCAATTGCATCTTGCCCTTTGCTGGCTTATAATGGGAAGAAGAGATGCCTGGCTTGACTGCAGGGGCTTGCTACAAATGTAATGGGTGTGATTCTTCATCTGTCTATGAACCTGCAAGAGGATCCACAAGCCTTTCTGCTTGTTGCTCCAACAAAATACATATACTTGTTTCTCTGCCCCTCCCGTCCCAGGCACACATCCAGGAATAATAGTAGTGAGATCATTGGGGACTGTAAGAGCCACCACCATTTACTTCCCATAGAAAAGGGGGCCAGGGGGAGAAGGGTGCACTGAGTCAGTCACCGGCTGTGATAGAGAGATGGCTGTTGGCATAAAATTATATTGTTGGCTTATTTTTAGTTCATCTGTTCAATAATAATAAAAAAAAATTTCTATCAGGCACGAGCCTTGTTTTTGTCTGCAGCGACACAAATCACTAAATGTTTGCTTAAAAGATGCAGAGATGGTTTGCTAGGTGAGTGCATGGGAAACTGTTAGCCTGGCTAGCTCCCTGCACAGAGTCTAATTTTGAAAGGATAATGTCAACCAACTTTAACAAAAACTGCTATTTTCCATCCCATACATTGTATTTTGTTCATTTTATGCATTGCTGCCATAATATAATCAAGTACACACAGAGGGGGCTGCAGTGTGGTAAGAGCTACATATACCTGTTTGTACAGGACCTGTGCTGAACAGTTTGCAATCTCAAAAGTAGTGGGGACGAGGGATATACACACCTGTATGCACTTTTCATGCACATGCACACTTTCATCTCCAGTCTGCATATTGTTTCTAATTACATAAAGACTTCTCACCTGTTGCTTGGCTAGTTTCTTGTTGGCACTGTGGCAGAAGTCTTGAGGTGGGAGTTGGAGAGAGCAGTAACCTTATTAAGCAGTTCAGGGAAGGTGTCAGCTTAAGATATACTCAATCTTATACCTTAACGAGGCTGTTGCAAACATCATTCTTTTGTATGTACTCCCTTTTATGCACCATATTATACAAACAACAGAGCAGCTATTGGACCAATAATTGCTAGCTTCAAGGGACATTCAGGCACTGCTTGGTGTCATTAAAATGGTGGCCATTTTGAAGTTAAGGTAGGGGCTGATCTATTAGGGCTACCTTGAGCATAAACTTTCACAACCCTGTCTACTGGACAGCTGTATGTTCAGAAATGTCATGATATGCCAGCAGGGTGGGCTCTAGGCACCAGCAAAGCAAGCAGTTGCTTGGGACGGCATATTTGGAGGGGCACAAGAATCCAGCATGGGAGCTGAGAACCAACAGGGGGCCCTGGGAGCTGTAGTTCCTTCATTAGCTCCCTGCCTATAGAGCCAGCCCTGGAGCAGGGAAAGAACTACATTTCCCAGCATTCCCTCGGCCGCTAGTAACAGGAAAGGGAGGGGGAAGGAGTATGGAACTGAAACCTGCAATTTGCTGAGAATGGTAGGGACAGAGCCAGCTCTAGGTTTTTTGCCGCCCCCCCCCCACCCCAGCCCTGGGCTCCCCCCTCACTCCTGTGTTGCCCCAGCCTGGGACTCTTCCCTGCTCGCACCCCCTGCCTCCCCAGCTCTGGGCTCTTCCCGCACCCCCGCTGCTGCCCCAGCTCTGGCCCCCCACCCCACCTCCTGCTGCCCCCAGCCCTGGGCTCTTCCCCCCCCCCCCCCACACCCTCTG